TGCTTGCTGAGCTGTGGTCCTAGGTCTCTCCAAGAACTGTGCCACCTATAAGATACAACAAGAGCAACAGAGCACAAAGGTCAACCTTGACCTTAAGCTCGAACAAAAATGGCCATAGTAAAATGTTTAGGCAACCTAGGTGCTCGTTTCTTCCGAGGCCTAATATATTGTAGTGAAGTTCTGTTCACCAAAATGATATCTGCTTGAGCTGTTATTGGTATTTACCATGACAGAAAATTTAAAAATGATATCTTGAAAACAAACATCTTGCTAAGAAACAGACAGACAGAAAAACAAATGGAAGTCATTACATACCTTTACCTTCGAAGGAAGAACGAAAATAATGTTTATATAGTTTTACTTTGAAGTCAGCAATTAATCTGAACAATGCAGCCAAAAGACCTGTTACATTCTTAGCAAATGAGCAAAATGATGTCTTTGGCCACCATGTGCTCTTTAAGAGGAGCTTTATTTTGGTTTGATAAAGTATTATTCAGTATGAGTCAATTTTACATGCATCTGAATGATATCTTTAAGAAATATGAAGTACCTGCAGAACTTGACAAGCTCTGGAATCGTCAAAGCGGGTCAAAGTACTTTTATGAGAGCACTGTGGAGTACCAAAGACTGTAGGGAAAGAAGACACTCATTGTTCACCGTTTTGTGTCTGTTGTCAGATATAAATGGTTTAAGTGTGATGTGGGGGTTGCTATACTGCTAAATTACATAAATTGCTGAAATACATTAACTCTCATTGTAAACTGGGATGATAACAGAAGTGTTAGTGAGGATTTTTCTCTAGGCCCTACATCAGCACAAACACAGTACAATCGGTGCACTCACCAGAACTCTCTATATTGATTTCAGGTTCATTGTTGCTCGGTTGAAAGAACCTGGATCTCTTGTGACCTCTGAAGCATTTACATTTGGTCAAACCGCAGTGGCAACCCTGAGCATTCATGTTGAATAAGTTGGGTGTCTGTAACAGAATATTGTCAACATATTTGTGAGTGAAGCCAAAATAAGCAGTGTATGATTTTATGATGCTTAACTCTGTCTACCTTTCCCTAAATTTCACCACACTTCTGCACTCCTCTGGTAAGCAGTTTGTCTTTCTTCTGCTTGCTTATTACTGTTTCTTTTCATTTTAATAGTCAGGAGATCATAAGCACACAAATCACAAAACTTAAACTGAGAGCTTTGTCTTTTTGCTTTATTATTTTGTTTTTTGTGACCATAGTAGTCATGGTACAGACGGCATAGTTGCAGTGTTTAAAACTTTCAGAAAAGTAAGTGTTGTTCCAAATTATATGAAGTATCGAGCTTTTCTTAACATTAGGAACCAAACTCAGAAAGGGATACTACTGGTACAGTACCCCAAAAGGTCGATTCTTTTCATCTGGACGTCACTACCTGAATGATTGAGCGTGCATCAAGATACTGGTACAGAAGTTTCATTGGTTTAATAAGGGTTTCAGGTTACATACTCTTTACCTTCGTTGCAATGTTGTCATAGTTATTAACACTGATGTCCTTATATTTAAAAAAAACATTTCCAAATGAGATAAACAAGATATTTATTTATTATTTCTCTAGCCAAATGAAACAGGAAGTTAAAAGGAGAGTACTGTCTCAGTAAGATTACATTTTGACAGGTCAGCAACTCAGTGAAATAAAAGCTATTTTTTTTTCAAGAATGACCTGGGCTTATAGGTGTTAAGACTGAACAACGTGCAAAACGATTGATCTAGCATGTCTGTGGACTGTGGGAGGAAATGCCCAAGCAGGCACAGGGGAACATGCAAGCTCCACACTATCCCCAGCCTGAATTCAAATCTAGGACCCTTATACAGTGCGCCAACAGTACTATAGAGCGATTTGTGTGTGTAACAGTCATGTGTGGTTTCTTATCCCGATCAACTTGGTGTAAGAGAAACATGTATTTATGTGTGGGTATAGTGTACATAATGTTTAATAAAACATAAATGTAGAAAGAAATGGGTCGTGTACATAACACAGGGATCTGCATAACTGTCATTAGTTTTATTGATGCTACAAGAATAAAACTTTTGTGTTATGGTGTCTCTTTTATAAACCTTTGTATAAATCTACCTTTCAGTGTTTGACCACATAGGAGAAGTGATATTTTCCTTTGCACAGCGCAAACACCCACAAACTGAAAGCTACTTCGGACTAGGAGGAGTTAAAATTACTTTATAAGAGTAGTACAGTAGACCATTGCTATAATGCGGTTCACCTCCCCATTTGTTTAGTGCAAATTTCCTCCGTGCCGATCGCTAGCAGTGGGACTCTGAAGTTGGTTTCTTTCTGTATACTGGACTTATTTTTCTATGAAGGTTTGAACTTTGAGTGCTTAAAAAAAGAGAGAAAAGCATGAAAATGTTCATGCCTGTCTGACAAAAGTGTATATAGTGTGTAGTGAGGGGTTTTACGGCCTTAAATATCTATAATAATTGTAAAAAATAAAGTTGAATACTTTGCTGATTTCGCCTATTGCTGGTTATTTTTAGAACCCAACTCCCGCAATTAACATGTTGGATTTGGTTATTCAAAGTCAAAGTCAACTTTATTTGTCAATTCTGCCACATGTACAGGATATACAGAGAATAGAAATTTTGTTTCTCTCAAACCCTAGATGAAATAGCAAATGAACACTTAAATATAAGAGAGTGATTAAAAAATGCAAGTAAAATAATTAAAAAGTAAAAATTTAAATGAATAAATACAATACAAATTAACAAGAAAGCTATGCAATATACAATATACAATATTCAGGTAAGGGTAAATGACATTGAGTGTAAATGTCATGGAAAGAAAAGCAGCCTAGTGGGGGGAAAAAATGTTTCGTGTGTAGCTGAGCACCTGCAACCTGCGCTTGACTTTGATAACCATGACAGCTTCCTTATGGTGAAAGATCCGCGTGTAATTAACTGGAGTTGTGTTGCATAAGTTTGTCTGTATAACTTGCTGCACTCTACAAACTACCAGTTAACTATCAAATTTTTAGATTTAATTCCCAATTAGATGACTTCACAGCATCTACACAAAATAAAATACATATAAAAACACATATTATTATACAAAGGCGTGATATTTTAATATTATCTGTTTTTCTTTCACTCATGCAGGCACGAGAGTGAATGGGTTAGTGAGACTGTCAGGCTATTTTATCATGAAGCATTTCAAAAAGTTGAAATTAACACCAAAGTGCTGAGCAGCCTACCTGCGCTCCTCCGTCTCGATGGTCAGCTGTGCGATCTGCTGCTTTCTCCACACTCAGCTCCTCCCGGGTGCAGATTGTTTCGTTTTTTCGAAATCAATCCCAAAACCAGCCCTTTAAATTCAACTCTAAAGAGTTGCGACACGTCACTGCGAAATACTCGGTTACTGGAAACGTCATGGAAAAAAAAGGGAACAGCATTCATTCATTCTTTAAGACAAACAAAAGAAAACAAATACAAACACAGCTGACATCCTCGTGTGAGTGTACATCGCTGGTCTGGATCCCAGGATAAAGATATTTTAACCATTTTTGTTATAACAGTATTTAACGTAGCTTAATGTGGCGGGGCTGCGAGGGAGGAGGACGCTTGTAAGCGGCATCCGCAATCACGCCTCGCTGGCTTGAAAGTCTGTCCTTGGGCCCGAGTTTGGTTGTTGTTGGTGTGTGTTCGGCTTTGAGCTGCAAAGGTGCAGCCATTTGCATAGATATGTGGTCAGGTCTTTCAAGCTTTCATTTCATGTGTAAGACAGACAGTCAAAGTGAAATCACCTTTATTGTGCTGAGTTTTTCCACACTAAATTTTAATCTTTTTGCGTGATAAATAAAAGTGGATCGTTTTTTGTTTTTTTACAAATATTGTAATAATAATAAAAAACTGATTGGGATGCGTGATGCGATCGTAAATGACATCAGTTAAAAATATTAAGTGGGTATTTAACGAATTTGATACTTTTAGTCAGTAAATCGGATACTAAAATCTAATTTTGATACTGTAGTGTAAACGAGAAGGTGGTTATCACACAGGTAAGGCTTTGAGTGCAAAAGACACTCCTCATTTAGCTTGCAAGCCTTTCTTTCATGTTTTTCATGCTGAACACAAATAAAAGTGTACTGGCTGCACTCTGTGACTGTCATATCCTCCTGTGCTCGGCTCACTGGACGATAAAGAAGAGAGACACAGAGAGAGAGATGAGTTTATTTATTTCCCATTTTCCGCATGAAACGAAAGCAACATGGAGGCTTATACGTGACAGCATACTGGGACTGGATTTACCATTAGCGCACACATGCTACCAAGCATGACCCTTAAAGCAATAATATAATAATAACAACTGCACATATACACAAACCAGTTCACAAGCCAGATTCACAGTAAGCCTGGCCTGTGTAAGATTGTCAAGCAATGGCTGAATTCACTCCATATGATCTTCCCAAGTGCACTGTAAAAACAATATTCCGTAGAAAAATGGAAAATGTCCTGGTAATTTTCTGCCAGTACATTTTCTGTTTTTTTACGGAAGTTTGACGGACTTTTCTGTAAATGATAAAACGGAAAATTCTGTAGATTTACAGTATACTCTCTGTACTATTTACGGACATTTCCTTCAGCTATAAAACGGAAAATT